CTTATCCGATTTTTATGGTACCTGGAAACTTTTGATGTGGAGGTTGTCTGTTCCCTGTGGTGACAGAATATAAGTCTGTCTAGAAAATGCACAGCTGACCCCTGGCCTGCCTTCTGCTCCTCAGCCGATGGTTGCCAGCGCAGCCTCACAGGCCTCCCGCACCTTCCTAGACACCCTGCCCGGCACTAGAGTGCTTCTCCCACTTGTCCCCTATTTCAGGTCTCGGGGAGATGTCCGTGCCAGGGCCCTCCTCTGCCACACTCATGTGGGCCCCTTCTTCGCATAGCAGCACCCCGACTCATTTACTGTGTGCCTGCTGCTTGTCTTTCTCCCCAGAGCAGTGGTTCTCCACCTTCCTCAGGCTGCCACCCTTTCATACAGCTCCTCATGCTGTCGTGACCTCCCAACCACAAAATTGTTTTTGTTGCTACGTCATCACTGTCATTTTGCTACTGTTGTGAATTGGGCGACCCCTGTGAAAGGGTCGTTTAATCCCCAAAGGGGTCGCGCCCCCCAGGTTGAGAACTGCTGCGCTTTAGAACCCATGACCAAGTGAGGCTCCAGCAAGCAATGGATGTGATTCAACGAGGGGGCAGTTCAAAATGCACACCTTCTGGGGGAATTAAGAGGGCGACAGCGGGTGAGCCGCCTGAGAGGAGGGGAGGGTGAGCGGGTCTCCATCCTCTACAGGCAGTATTTCTTCCAGCCTGACGACCAGCCTCGCCGCACTCACTCATAGTGACCCTAGGGATGGGGGAGAGCGGCCCCGTGGCATCTCCTTGCGGGGGTAGAACACCTTAAGGTTGCAGATCGCGGGCCTTGCAGTGAGCAGCCCAACTGGGAACGCACTCGCGCCCAGGGCTCCTGAACACCAGCCAAGGCCGCTCCCAGGTGAGGCTGCTGGCCATCCGTGGCCACAGGAGCCTGGGAACAACGGCCGCGCCTCACCAGTGTTCCTGCGGCAGCCAGTCGCAGCCTGCACCAGCTCCACCGCAGGGCCCCGCCCGGCCGGTGGCCTCCTCTCCAGGGCGTGTGCAGAGGGAGGGTGCCTGCGAGGGCTGAGGCTGCCCACCTCCTGTGCAGGGGCAGCTGGAGAGGCGGAGCCCCAGGAACGTGAACAGGCTGGGATGACTGGTGGGCCCACAGCGGTGCCTCCAAAGGGCTCTTGGGGTTCTGCTGCACGGGGAGCCTGGAGAAGAGTCTTTGCCATTGTTTGGTCCTCAGTTACCTCATCTGGACAATGGGAAGAGGTGGCTCAGATTAGATCATTGATTCCCCATAGGGCTGTGCTTAAGAATTACCCGAAGTGGGGCTTAGTATAACACCAGTTCTGTTGATGTATTACTGCTCATTTAGTATGCAAGTCCTTTTACAGTAATTAGCGCATTTAATCTCTAGATTCTCACAACACATTCAAGGAGTAGGAGGTACTACAGCAAAAGCTGGAGTGCGGCTGGTAGAAATCTGTCAGAGACAAGGCTCAGGTGGTTTACACAAAACACACAATAGAAAAGCAGTAAGCCTGCACCCTGCCGCATCATTACATCCTTCACACTGAGGAGAAAACCAGGCCACAGAAGCTAGACAACCGTGTCCGAGGTCAGAGGCTGGAAAGTAGCTCCTCTTGGTTGCTGGTGACCTTATGTCAACAGAATGAAACATCGCTTGGTCCTCTGTCCTCTCCAAGGAGCCCTGGCGATCCTGCCGGATCAATGCCGGACTGCTAACCACAGGGTTGGTGGTTCAAACCCACCAGCTGCTCCGCAGGAGAAAGGTGAGGCTGTCTGCTCCCGTCAAAACGTACAGCTTGGAAATCCTCCATGGGGTCACTGTGAGTCAAGGTTGACTCAAGGGCAGTAGGCGCTGGGTAGTGCCCTCTGCGGACACTGGTGTGTTTGAGCCCATGCTCGCTGCTGCTGGGCCCTTTGGCCAGAGGGCTCAGCCTCTAGAACAGCGGTTCTCAACCTGGGGGTCGAACGACCCTTTCACAGGGGTCACCCGATTTGTAACAGTAGCAA